CCCCAAAACCCCAAAACCCCAAAACCCCAAAACCCCAGAATTTGTAAAAATTATTGAAAAATGATAGCTGAACCTATTGTACGCCTTTTTACCTTAGCTCTCTGCTACTTCGGGAATAGTCGTTTATTATGTTTTAAATATATTTAGCAGTTGTCAATTGTCTGATTGTTTCTCTAGATCCGCCATAAAACAAATCAGAAAGAAGGTACTCAGTTCTTTAATCTTTTAGAAAACACAGAAGAGGTAAAGCCTTTATTAGAAGGATCTGATGAAGAGTTCAAAAGTTTATACAGCCAAGAAGGTAAATATTCCCAATGAAATTCTTTCTGACCGCTAATTGTCAAATAAAAAGAAATTATCCTTCTAAAAGTGAAGCAAGCTCTTATTTCACCATGTTATATTTTAGAGTAAAAATTTGGAGACAAGGAAGGAACTTAAGCCTATCATTATGAAGGTTTTATGCAAGTTTTCCTTTTTATTAATATCCCTTTAAGAGTTATAACACCATGGGAAATCCTAATTTGCTAAAGAAGACTTAGAGATGGTCATTAAGGACACAGAGTCAGACTATTTCAAAATCTGCCATATTTCAACTCTCTTAATTTCGAAGTTGTGACATGAGGTTTTCTTTTTGGTCAGAATTTTCAGAAACGCATTGTTAATTTAAAAATAGCCCCATTGTTGGAATCCTTCAGAAGATGTTCTTGAATTCATGCTTCGATAATGCAAAATCTTATGACATATTTTCCATAAATATAACCTTAGCTATTCGAACTATTGTTAGAGTTGTGAAATAGTAAATTTATTTTAAAGCACTAGTAGATTTGTCCTGAATGTATCCACCCTGACCCTGATTCTTTAGAGAACCTCCAGGAAGGATCATTACTCAAGGAACTCGAAGAGACAGAAAGAGAGGGCCAAGAGAATGGTAAACAAGAGTTTTGAGATTCTTTTTGGTCGGGATAGAATTTCATTTTAATGTAGCTTTCAGAGCCAATTTTTTCTTTCTGTTTCTGAGGATATTTTTGGACACTTCGTTCGATCCCCACTAGCAGTATCCTAAGTATACTATGTATAGCTCTTCTTCCAATGGGTTCTATCATCGATGTGATTGATGCCAGGATGGATGACTACATTCGGGCTATCAAATACGCTACCAAGTATGATCCTTTAAGTGTTGAGAAATTACTCCAGAAAGCAGAAAAATTAAAGAAGCTTAAGAATGAAGGAAATCTTGAAGGGGAAGTTGATAAGTAAGCTCAATTTGTATCATCCAATCTTACTCTAATAGGCTCACCCTCCTCAAGTACGGAATAAGCGACCTTACTCCTCAGGAGATCAGTGAGAAGCTCTTCTGTAAATCTGAAGGCGAACGAAGGAAGAAGATCCTCGAGTGGATCGGAGACAACAAAAAGTCAATGGAGCTACTCAGAATCAAGGGTCTAAATTTTAACCAAAAGGGAACACCTATTGGAAAGAAAAATGCTAAAACTGCTGTAGAGGAATTTAAGCAACTTGATGAAGAGAGGAAAATAATGGTTGATATCGCTAAGGATAAATGGCATCCCCTCCCTGTTGTATCTGAGCAAGATATCATATTTGAAAAAGACATCAGAGCCAAAGAAGAACATAAGTAATTATCAACTATTTGATGTTTTAGAGAGAGTTGTGTCAAAAATGATGATGAAACTCTTATTGTAGTCTCTCTGACTATTCCACAAGAGTTTAGGAAGAAGAAAGGAGTCACATTCTTGTTCTCTGTAACACATAGAGACAAGAAAATCCAGCAGATAACCAAGAGAGTCAAGGGCTCTGAGATGGAATGCACTTTCAGTATTGATTCAGCTATTGCAAAGCGACCTTCAGCACTCAGAATTGTGGTGAGATCTGTACAAAAGAAGTTTTGCTTCAGCAGTAAGAGCTTATTTGAGGAGAAGTACAGCTTGGCTCAATTGAAGAACAACCCAATGATTAAGAAAGGATTCAGAATATCCAAAGAAAGGTTTGACCTGAGCATCAATTTCAAAAAGGATGATGAAGAAATTAGAGAATCTCTGTATCAGAACCAAGTTGATAGCCTAAAAGTTCGAAAAATTATAGATAAACTTGAGCCATTCATCATGGAGGCTGAAGAAATTAACTATACTGAGCCTAAAAAGCCAAAAGAAGAAGACTTGAAAGAATCGGAAACCACCCAAATTGAATTGACTACTGAAAATACCCCAAGAGTAGACATCCCAAAAGGTATTGGTCAGGATGAAATTAAGGATCCGGACGTACAAAGAAATCTTGCTAGTTTGCTCTATTGCCAAGAGAAGTTGAAACGTTTACAAAAGCTTAGTGAGAAGCTGACATCAGATACCTCTCCTGATGCAATGCTGCTGAAGACTAAAATGATCTTATTCGAGCAACAAAAGGAAGGGATAGAGTCTGCTATTGGAAATGAGCAGATCACTTTTGAGCAATACATTTCTTATCTAGAGAAATCTCTTGCTCATGATAAGATCCTGTATGATTACTTCATATCAGCTGGGCTATCCCAGAAGGCACAGACTGTAAAGTTCAGAATGGAATGAACTGAAAAGGAGATGGACCAAGACTACGATCCTGATGAAGATAATGAAGAAGAATAAGAACACCTTGTCAGAAAAGATTCAAATTTAGTCTCTTAACCTGGGGTTTTGGGGTTTTGGGGTTTTGGGGTTTTGGGGTTTTGGGGTTTT